TAAGCAGCAGCTTGTAGGCTGACAGGCGTTTTCATAAAACGAAGCCTTCTAAACGAAAATATTGTGAATTTGCATATGGTAACACAATGAAATATTCGGTCTGTATCCCCTTTGATATATGATCATCATGATACATGAAGGAAAGAGACCATCTGATAGAACACGAAGTGGAGCTGATGATAATATTAAAATGGATTTTTTGATAAATGTTGTATGTGTATTCAGTTGATCAATGAACCGTGTAGTTAAATAAACATCGAAACATATTTTGACATCCTGAGAGACTTTTAGGACCTCAAGAAATCTTTACTTTTTTGGAATTAGTTTTGTGAAATTACGCAGTTCCAGATGTAACAAACTGAGCGTAAGAATTTGGATAACACTTTCGAAAGTGGACATTTTGTTGATATACAATTTTGTTATTATATTATCGTCGTATTTTATGACATGTAATGAATGAAATAAAACATTATGGCACCGTCCATGCCTGTCCATTGCCGAAACACGTTGACAAAACAATGAGACCTGAGATCTCATAATTACAATTTTAATTTTCGTGACAGTGTTTGTTCCACGGACTATAAAATCCTATTGTGTACTTACACCGCTTTCCTTCCTGATCCTGGCGTGTTAACAAAATGCGTTGAAGCGAAGCATTGTCATATCGCACGGGGATCGCAATTTTAAAAGTAGGTTTATTTTGGAATTTTGTCGGGAATGTGAACGCGTTGAAATCCTGACTCAACGCTGTTTCAAACTTCTGACTGGAAACCATTATTTTCCCTCTGATTCAAAAACCTGATATAGTTACTAAACACAAGCCATGTGCGGTCTTCTCGTCGCCCTGATGATGGCAGCGGCTAGAACCTCTGTAACGTCGGTATATTTCTACCAGACTACACGGCGAAACAATCCAAAATACATCCATCTTCAGTTACAGGACACTTTTTTTTTTAAATTTGTGCTTTAAAGTTAGAGAAACAAACGCTGATTTAACAATGCAAGGATGTGACATGACGTATCTTTGCATTGTTATGCTCTGAAAAATTGCGTGATCATAAACCTCGTTCATACCAGTTGCATCTCTTTATGCATTAATTTATTTATGATTCCTTACTGGAGAACAGCGATTGACACAGATCGCTTTATGCATTATGAATTTTCTAATCTGATGTTATAATGTGAACCAATCACACGTCTTAACGTGCGAAGCATGTAAGATGAAAAGAGAATAGATTAATATTTTAGGTCAAATTTTGAATTTGACAGTAAATATAAATTTTTTCCTAAGCATAAAATAAGTGAGAACTGAGGATAAGAAAAGAAGAAATGCGTTTATTAAGCAGAGTAGGAACATGAAAGTTGAACGGGTCGCTGTACGCTGCCATATTTATTCAGACAACGAAGAATTCGCCTTGAGGTTACCTCCAGTTACAATTAAATGCTAGACTCGCAACCAGAAATTAAGACAATAAAAATATCCTACTCTAGCCGCTGCTGCTGCTGCTATCTGGTGACCAAATAACATACTGCTGTCGCAACATGGGAGCTCAACTTATCTCTGTTGCTGAGATAAACTTTAGTGAAATTAATTACGTTTGTGATTATCCCTTTATTGCCCGGTGGGAACTATGTGTACCGTCTACTCTAAAACCTGTGACTGTGTATTTTTTATATGTGAGCTTCGTATGACTTTAACTGCAAAAAAAGAGATCATTTCCTTAAACAGCATCCGGAAACCGGCCTTTCTGTACGAACTAAATTCTTAAATATCGTTTAGACGAGCTTCGACTTCAAACGTTCAACATAACTGAGGTCGCGTAGAAGAGGCACCAAATTGGGCTATGCATATGCCCCCCCCTCCCACCCAGTTTATCGGGTGTCCCAAAAAGTATGATCTTTAAAACGCCTGACAATGATTACATAAACTGAGATGACTGAGATTGAAGTGCCACGACGTGAAAATAAATATATTAATACACGCGGAGTCCTGAAACTTCGGATGATGCACAGATTATGTTTGGAAAGCCTCGTCTGAATTGCCTGAGCTGTGCAACAGTCAAGAAAATTAAGTTGCTTTAATTAATAGTAATGGTTCCTTATCTCCACATATTTCATGATCCGAGATAGTTCAGTCAGAATTGTTACAGGCTATTGGCTCGATGACCAGGGTTCGACTCTTGTCAGGGGCAGGAATTCCTCTGTTTTCGAGTTGTAAATTGGCCGGTTGAATTCTATTTTATCTTCACGGTGCTGAATAGGCGTATATAGTAATTATCTATTAATTTCGAAAGGTTCTTATCACAGCAATTACTTTAAATATTTAACTCAAGCTGGGGACATTCATAATGCCGAGATGCCGTGGAGAATGTGCGTTCCGGACCGGACCACCCCTTTTCAGCCTTCTTAGTTTCTGGCGTCACCAGTCACTTCCCACTGTAAGTGACGTAATGCGCAATTTCGCACAAATGACTGGGTAATTTGAGAAGGAATATCTCCGGACAGATTCCTCGCATGGCAACGTTCAACGCACACAACACGTACTTACCCACATATGACATTTGCCTGCACACGCGCGTAATTATAAAAAGGGTACGCGATCCACAAGTTGTCGCACGTTTCATAAGAGACTAGACACATTTTGTCGCTCCTTCTGTTTTCAAAATGTTGTGTTGCTATGGTCCAGAGAACTGATTCATATCTCCATATTCTAAGATCTGCGCTCGCCAATTCTGTAAAATTATCAGGGGTGTGTGCCAACTGTTGCGAGGAAAATATGATCCCAAATTCTAAATAGAACAACGTAGGAAGAAATATCCACAAAGGAACGAGGGACAAAGGTAATGAAGGAATAAATCACGAGAGAATGCAGGGCA